AATCGGAAGTGCAGAGGAGTTGTGTGCGCTGTGTGAACATGATGTTATTGTAGTTCTAGACTAAATGTGAATGTGCATTAATTCATTAATTCACTCACAAAAAACAGATTTAGTATTCATCAAAATGAATTAAAACAGTGAAATGCAAACTCAGAATATGACGCAACCCTGCAATAATTAAATATGTTAAATAACACAAATTTATCTAATCCCATTTGATTAACTAATGTCTTTGCTGCTGACCTTTGATGATCCAGTTCAACCATATTAATAAGCAAAAATTACTTCAGAGAACTAACAATTGTGCTTTGTTTTTTTATTGCTGAAGAGTGTTTCTTCTTCTGCGTTCTACTGTACAGACGTGAATTTACTTTTGCTTCAGCCTGAAGTTTATTCATTACACTTTTTGGTGTGAAAGGGCTTTTATATTTGCTATAAATAGAACTTCTTATATTAAAAACAATCAAGCCCTGCTTAAATTTAAAAAGTAACGCGAAAGTAATGCAAAAGTAGTGTAATGCATTACTTTCCATAAAAAGTAAGTAACGTAATTAGTTACTTTTTTAGGGAGTAACGCAATATTGTAATGCATTACTTTTAAAAGTAACTTTCCCCAACACTGCTCTTTATGCACCATAAAATAACATAAATCAGTGATAAAACCCTTAAAACCATACATATAGTGTAAGTGACAGTGATGTTTGGCTGAGCAAATTTAAAAAAACTTTAGATTAAGGAACACTTATTCACTGTTAGTTGCTTATTATTAGCATGCATATTACTAGCATATTGGTATTACAAGCATACCCTTAATCCAGCCCATACCTAAACTTAACAACTACCTTACTAACTTAAGCAGCAAATAGGGAGTTCATTGAGGCAAAAGTCGTAGTTATTAGTTAGTTAATAGTAGTAATTGGACCTTAAAATAAAGTGTGACCAATATTATCTATATTCTAATTCAGTGTTGTTTCAAATCAACCCACGTCTTCCAACGTCACAACTCGTATATCCAGTGGCGGCTCGTGGGTATTAAAATAGAGGAGGCACAGTAATTGTATTGGTCTGGGATCCCTGCCGATTATTATTATTATTATTTGCTTAACCACTTTAAATTGGCTTTTTGGGTGCTTTTAGTCAGAAAACGTAAAGAAAACGACATACATACAGCAAGATCATATAATTTCAGTTACCTGGCTTATCACTTGAAGCAAACATCCATCCCTTCTTAAAAGTCTGTGTTAAAAGAGAGCTGCCTGTTGCGCCGTTTAATTAAGCCGACTGCTGTAGCCTATATCCAGCTTAGGCTGTTTTCCCTCAATTTGTATATATACTGTTTGAATGACAGCTTGGTAAATCTGTTGGCGATCAAATATTCAATATCGCTACTCATCATAAGTACTATGATGTAGTACTATGAAAGTAGGCTAGCCTCCCTTGCGAGGGTTATTTTTTGCAACACTCCTCAGCGCTGAAAGTGAACACTCGATGCCGATTGGCTAATTTTTGTTACCAACGGAGGCATGAGAGCTCAGCGTCTCCCCTGGCCTCCCCCTACCCTTCTCTATCATTAGCGGTTGTAATTACATCAGCAGATTCAGCACATTCGCGATAGAAAAGCGGCGCTTTCATGTTATTTTATTACAACTGTGAAATTACAAACAAAAAATACACATTCTGAGACATGATCTGAAATGAATTGTGAATTTTATTAACATTAAATCTTCCTCCTCCCATTTTCACCTCAAAATTATGGGGAAACTGTGCCTCCCCTGCCTCCCCCGACGAGCCGCCACTGCGTATATCATCTGAAATTCAGAGTTTCACACTCATAAACAGGACTTCGCTCAGTCATTCATGTGCACTGAACTTGTAATGGTTCCCAGCTCACATGAAGGGTACATTAGTTTGCCTGATAAATCTGGGATTTTCCGAGCTCTTGCAGAATTGAGTTTGGCTTCCCATACTTCCATACTTTCAGTGTGAGAGATTTGTGGGGTTATTATATTTAAAATAATCATGAATATTTATGGGGGAAATGTTTCTTAGAAATATTGTTGTCATGCACAAATCTGGAAGAAAAGCTTGTGTTGGTGTTGTGTCATAATTAATGTTAACCTAAAGCTGATTCGGTCCAGAAAAATGCGGCCCAAATGTTTACAAAGACCTGATATAAATGTGCTCATGACATGTACCTCACTGATCTAGTCAAAACGCTGATTATAAAACAGATAGTTCCGGTCCTTGATTCTGATTGGTTGAGCCGGGTTTGAAGCTGTTGTAAATTACTCTACAAACATACACCTTTGTTTACTTATGTGTTGCTCGGCAACCACTTTGTTGGAACCACAACTGTTTCTGAGGAACTACATTGTTTGGTGGAAGAATACTGTTTTTATTAATATCATTACACTTTATTTTGTGAAACCTAACTACGTATATGGAATAACCGTTTTATAAAAGCAATAAGATCCGCTTCGCGTCGAGCCTAACAACGTCCCTTAGCTGTTATATTTATAAAAGCAATAAGCCCCATGAAGCCGTGGTTTATAGTGAATTAATAACAGCTTCGCATCGTGCCTAACAACGCCCCTTAGCTGTTATAAATTCACTGTAAACCACGGCTTCTTGGGGCTTATTTCTTTATTTGCATATCCATTTTTAGGTACTATGCAGTTTTGCTTATGTATCACGTCCCCCTCTCTCTGTTTCAGAGGCGTAATGGTGTTCTGATGTCGCCATACTCAGTGACGTCATCAGTAGGCGAGCGTCGATTGGTTGCGTGGTTTCAGGTGGGCGGAGCCCAGCGTGGAGAGCAGGATCTCTACCGATGCCTCACTCAGTCGACATACGGAGCCGCAGTGTCAAACTTTGCTGAACTAATCGTCAGAGGTATGAGCGGTGTTTCTTTCAACTATATCCTAGGTGTATTTATTTGCCAGTGTGTTATAACTTAATATGTGTTGCATAAGTCTATACCGCAGGCTGTTGGATGCTTAATGCTGATTGGTTGGTGCATGTTTTAAGGTGCGCAATTATTTTTTAGGGAAGTAATTCTAGGTCTTTTGACGGCAAAACAAAACAAAACAAAACAAAACAAAACAAAACAAAACAAAACAAAACAAAACAAAACAAAACAAAACAAAATAAAATAAAATAAAATAAAATAAAATGTTTTTACTATTATTATTATTATTATCATTTCATTGTATTGTGACAAGACAATTTAGCACATTTTCCCTGAATTTTCCTTCTCATAAATAAATAAATAAATAAATAAATAAATACAAATCTCAGTCTCATTATTATGTTGCAAAAATATATTATTTAAAGGGGTCATATGACGTTGCTAAAAAGAACATTATGTTGTGTATGTGGTGTAATGCAATGTGTTTATGTGGTTTAAGGTTAAAAAAACACATTATTTTCCACATACTGTACATTATTGTT